CCACTGACGTAGGCAGCTCTCTTCTGTCAGAAAGGGGCATCCAGATGACGAGGGAGGCGAATGGATTAAATTTTACGCCTCACTCTCCGCTGGCATTGCTCATCACATCACAGCAAGCAGATTTATTGATGAGGCAGCGCGTGTGGTGGCACTTATGATATATCTAGGCATAATATATAGTAGCTAAAAAGATACATGTATGTATACATATATGATGGCCTGATCGGGCGGAAAATTTTCAATTTGCAAAAATTTTAAAAATTAAAAATATAAATTTGAAATTCTTTTTATCAAATTTGAAAACGGTCGAGCATAGCAAACCAACAAAAAAACCTCTTGAGTTTTATGATATTTTCTGTTTTGAATTGAAAATAAATATATAGATATATAACATCTCTACATATAATATATATATACTATGGTGTATACCATACATAATTTGAAAAGCAAAATATCTCTCGTTGTCTCACGTCACGATGGCTAGAAAAAATTGCGCTCTGTTTTGCGTAAGCACAAATTTTCTTTTTGCAAAAACAAATAAATATTAAATCTTAAGCCCATAAACTTGATGTTCTACACCTTATATATGCACATATACATTTCTATATGTGTATATGTTGTCGAAGAGCTGGCACGCGGCCTGTGACATGGTCTTTACAATATTTTCGTCTGTAGAAAAAATTAGTGATACTATAATTATGAAAATATGTTTCAAATTTAGAAATATTAAAATGTTGATAATTGAATGAAATAATCGGCTTAGGTATGCATTTAAAACATAAAACAATATCAAAACATTTTTACATATTAATTTTTTTATTTGTTTATTTATTTATTTATTTTATTTTATTTTTTTTTTTTTAGAGTTTGAGGTAAGGTTGGATGAAGTGGAACATTTTAGATTGAAAAAGTATTGTGGAGGATAAATTTCCATAAAGAATACATAAAAATGTAATTACTTGAGATAGAAACTAATTACTTCAAAGAAAATACCAAACCTTCGAGCAACAGTCGTACCTTATTGATAAGTTCATGGGAATCTCCAAATTCATATAATATAAAATGATGTATATAATCTATATGCAATTATATATATATAAAATAATGTGAAAGTCATGCGTGACTTGACGAGTGCCAAAATGAGATAGCAGGACATATAAATTATATTAATCATACGCGCAGCTCAATAATTTTAACAAAAACCGAAATTGTAAAAATTGCACATAAATCCATATTAAAAATTTGGCTTTAAAGTTGTAGGAGATATCATTTTATAACTGATTTTCGATAAGGTTTTTATCGATCAAAAATATCGGGAGTAGTTATCGATTTTTAAAGCAAAACTCGATATCCGCGTGGTATACACGGACATTTTACAAAAAACTCGGGGTGTCTAGCTCTTGAATCTTCTGAAATCGACGCGTTTAAACATACTGACAGACGGACGGACGGACAGACCGACGACAGGGCTAAATCAGCTCAGCTCGCCGCCCTGATCAAGAATATATATACTTTGTACTTTCTGCCACGCCTCATTGCCTGTTACATACATTTCAAGAAAACCATTATACCCTGATTTCCCATTGAAAATGGGTTCAGGGTATAAAAATGTGTAATTCATTCATCGAAAATGTATCATATCTAACAAAAATAAAAAATCTTGAATAAATGTTTTTATTTAGTTTATACTTTTTAGCCGAGTAAGGTAAATAACATCACATGTTTAGCTGTTAAATCTAAAATTTAATTTTTATCACGACGCAAAATAAAAAGTGAAAAAAAAACAAATATTTCAAAGCGGGAAAATGGAAGAAAAATTGCATTTATTTTTAAACTAATTAATTGGCTCCACGCCAGCTGCCATAAAAACGTGAATCTCTTTTTTGTTTTGCAAGCGACAATAACAATATCTACATTCTTTAGCATTATGTCAAACATATATACTTATACATATATAAACACATATGTGTAGATACTGTAGATGCACATTATTATATATAGCAAAGATATTGCAAAATGGTTTTTCCCGCTGAAATGCCTCAGCAATAATACTTGTATGCCCAGTTCGCACAGCCTGTTTAGATTATCTATCCACAACAACATCAGAAACTAAGAAATATTTAAATTGAAAATCAAAATCAAGGCCAATATCGTCAGCGGATAAGAGTTGCTTCCACTAATGGATTGGATGGGTTGATTTGCCGATTGGCTCGATTGCAATTCCAATCGCAATTGGCATTAATGCATTTTGGCATTTTGACAAAATATTACCAAGCGGAAGATTCTATAAAAACAATAAATAAAGCGGAAATTCAGAGACGGAGAATAGTTGGGAAATACCCTGTAGTTAGAGACAACACAATTCTTTTCATGAGTAGTAAATTTCCTAATGAGAATAATAAAATATTTATATATTCAGATATGGGCTTCAGATCATATAATTTTAGATATTTATTTTGGTTTATATTGCAAAGAAAATACGTTTGAGCTTGATACATGTTTAGACTTTGTAGCTCACTCGCTCTTTTCTCAATAGAGGATATTCTATCAACTCATAATCACTTTCTCAAAGCATTTTATCGTTTTGCATTGCAAATGTAGTGCAAATGTAAAATTTAATTGCTTTTGATGTGTCATAAAAATAGAATCGATTTTTTCCATTTACCGTTTAATCAAATTTTTATAAACGCAAATTGAATTTTCTTTTAGTTAGCTTTCCACATACACTTGAAAAAATATCAATTTGAAGCAAATGTTGTCATTTTTAAATGTAGGTCAATGGATTGTATAACCCTTACTATCAGCATATTTCTTTTATTTAGTGATAAGCAATTATATATTTATTTATATTAATTACATAGACGACTTTTAAAGAGTTGGAGCAAATGCAAAAACTAAAAGGAATAAAAATGCGCAAAAAATTCAAGCTTCAGTTAAAAGTTTTTTGTTTGTAATTTGCAATTTTTAATTTGCAATATATAAACAATAAACACAAATACACACGCGTGCACACATTTCACGGACTGTCGAAAATAAAATCATATTGAATAAACAACAACAGGGAAACTCAGTTGAGTGTAGCGAAAACAATTTTTAAAAACTTTTCAATATTTCGTAATGCCTAACAAAACTGGCAAAGAGAAGGGACAAGTTATGTAAAAGACATAATTTGCAGATTTAATTGGTTTACAATAAATATGTAGTATTTGCTGTTTCCAAAATATAAATACATAAAGTATATATATGAGAAATGTTTTCTATAAGAATTTCAAATATACGAATTACAAAAACATCATTAAAAGAGAATAAAATATTACTTTAATACAGAGGAAATACTAAAGAAATTTTCAAATTTCAACATTGATATTCCAATTTTATTTTTTATAATTTTGCAAACAAATTTTGTCCAAATTTTGACAACCTTATGATTTTTTAAAATCTTTAAAACTTTACAAATTTGTGACTTGTTCTCAGCTGCTAATCGAGTTAAATAATTAAATATTTATTCTCAGTTTTTTTTTTTTTTTTTTAAAGCGAGTTGTTAACATAATTAATAACGAAGCCTTCGGGTTGTTTTTCTCAACACGTAGATATAATTTTCAGCTTGCGTGTACAAAAATAACATTATTAAAACAGCTTGATAGAAGAAAAAAATGAAAAAAAAAAAAAAAAAAAAAACATATATTTAAAAAAATAAGCCAAATCGAGTGTAGAGTACAATGTTGCGTACATGAAGTCCACTCGAACAGTTCGGCCAATTGGCCGGTTTGTTCAGTTTTTAGTGGCAAATTATTCCGATGCTCGTTCATAAAGTTTATTAGGGTATATTGCTATTGTAAAACGGCTATGGATCTATTGAATGGCAAGTTACCGATAAATCGAATAAACAGATATATCACATCGTTACATGGCAAATCAGTAAATTCCATAAAATATTCTTTTATTGAGGAAAACAAACTTTGGAGATATAAGCACATTATAAATGTAATATATTCTAAAATGCGTTAACAGAAATTTTGTTATTGAACTGTAAACGCGTATCGTGCAGTTAGTATTACCCCAAATTCCAAATTTTTTGTTTAAATTGGGACCCGCCATATTAGCCCGTAATTATTGCAAATGCCTATATTTAATTCATTTTATTTTGGCTTGCACGAATTTCGTTTATTTTCAAATTTTTTGTTTTTGTATTTCTGTTAGTGTTTGTGTTTATTGATTAATGTATTTTGGTACGCGGCATAGCGCAAACAAATAATCTTTCATGAAATGCATAAATTAATATTTTACTCAAAATTCGCTTTTCAGGAAAAACACGTGTGCCTCGACTTCCATATACTTACAAAAAATACATATATGTATATACATATATAAGAAAAAATATATATATTTCTGATTATGCTTATATGCTTAGCGTGGGTGCGTGGTAGTTGTTCACGTTAGACCTTTGCTTGTTTTAATTTTTATATTTATTGCAAAAGGAGCTCATTAAAAGGCGAGCACGCATATATTTTCAGTGCTTTTGCACCTGCTCATTCAGTTTTATAATGTACATAAATCATTATTGTTGTTGTTTATTTATTCAAGAGCAGTCAAATGCAATTGTTTATTTCGAAAAGGCTCAAATTGATGGCCGGAAAATGTAGCCGAATCCCAATGCTTCTAATTTGCACAAGTCTCAATTCGATTGGGAATATGTTTTGTTAGCACAAGAGCAAAATGTGATTATACCATTTAAAGAGAGATTGTAAATAGAAGCATAAGACTGAGAGTTAGTTGATAATATTATTATTGGTAAAATTATATTTATTCTATTTAGCTCAAATAAAAAATAGGAACATATAAAATATTTATATAAATCTGCTATCAAATTAAGAATAGAAAAGAATGTTTCTTCATCCTGACTAAGTTATATATCTTACATACATTTATTTTAATAGTTTTTCCACTATATAAACGTAACTTCTCTCTAAATAATATTAATAACCATTTCATAAACTCACCAGTTTGCTTTGGTAGATTATAGAAATCGAGTGTTTTGATTTCAGATGTTTCCACATGCGGAGCAAATCCCTCATACAGATCACTCTCCTCGACAATGCCGCTCAGCTTATCGGCCTGGGCCGATGTGTCGGCACGATGATAGGGCATTTTCTTAGCCAGCTTTGACTCTTTAGCTGTCTCTGGTTACTTGAGAGCTGTCGTTACTCGTGTTCTCTTAGCAAATAGTTGAGGGTTTTAGTGTGTAGGTGTAATAGTAGGATTTCAAAGATTTATTTATTCAGTATTCCTTCTTTTTTTGTGACTAGATAGATCAACTATTGTTTGTGATTTTGTTGTTGTTGGGTTTTTATGGGGTTGTCGTTCTTATTGCGGCTTAGCAATGTGCATTTATGGAGACAGAAATACTCCAATACGATGATGTCGCGCCGAATTCATTATAATGAACGATTTAAAACGAATACTGCATGAGCATAGTGGAGCAAAACGTAAAAGAGCAGCAATACAGAGTCTGCAAAAGATACGATAAGAGATTATCAATATGATGTTAATTGAATAATTTGTATGGAATAAACTTAATACTAAACTGACTAGTAAAAGCAGTTTAAAAGTTATTTTAAAATAATTAAAGCAAAAATAGTTAACATATATTTAATTATTTCCTACAGATTTATTGAAAAACTTTGAGGCATATAAAGCTCAAATTTCTAAGGGCATGCAATTTACTCAGTCAGCGTTTCTCTACTTCTGGGCCAACTTGAAAGCCATGCCGGCTGCTGAGCAAAATGCCGGCACTTGTCTGTTGGCTGCATATATTTTGTTTATTATAATTTTAATGTTTGGCATTCCGAGTTACGGCAAATAAACAAAATCTGTGTAATCCAATCAATAGCCATCACTCAGATATATTTTATACATATATATTTATGTCAAGCTATATATTTATTTATACATATGTAAAGACCTTGTAGAGTAGAGCGGCGCAAAGATGAATATGGAATGACTGGTTCAATGACATGCATGAAAAACAACTTGGAACATTTTCAATTCATTTGGGCCAGCAACCACGAAAAATAATTCCAATTGTAGACAAGGCGTCAGGCGCCTCTTGGCCATAAAATACATGAAACGGCATTAAATGCCAACAGCAATAAAAATCTCAACTGGCCACAAGCAGAGAGAGAGAGAGAGAGAGAGAGAGAGAGAGGGGAGAGAGAAATGGGAGTGAACTGCGCGGGACATATAGCATGGAAGTACTTAAAAGGCTCCCAAATGTCGCCGTCGTCAGCGAGATAAACGGATTTTTGGTAAATTGCCGGTTTTAATTTTGTATCGTATCGTGTCGATATTTAATTAATATATGCCAAACTGGAAACCGGCACAGATATATCTCGATTGCCCACAAAAAATACTCAAATTTAAATTGCAAAAAAAATGTTCAAGGAATATATATGAAATAATTGTTTATTTGAACTGGGCCAACAATTTGTGAGCTTAATTATTGTTGCAGAAAAAACAAAAACACTGTTTATTTTGTTATGAAATTAAGTATATTTTAACTATATTCAATAATTAAGTTTGTGCACGTTTCGTTTGAATACGATCTATATATAAGAGGCATAGGACTTAAATAATTTTTCAAATATGATATATTTATTCGTAAATACGTATTTTCTTCAAGCTAAAATAAAATATTTGCACACTGCCCGCTGCATTTAATTAAAAAATGAGTAATTTTCACATAGTTCGCGCACTAATTTAGCATATCTATTTAAATAAGACTGTACGTATGCACCATTTAATTTGTATTATAATTAATGAAATTTGATAGTAATCAAATTCTATGCAAGTGCCAAACACTCCAAACGTTTCTCACACACGCTGTGTATGCTTATTAGGCAGCAGCAGCAAGGCACGCTGCATTGGTAGCTCAAGCCAAGCATAAATAACAGAAAAAAAAATTAAATAATAAAAAAAATAAATACGATATAGTTTAGTTAAAAAATTGTTGTTTTCTGTTATTTTCTTTTGTTATCGTAATTCTTTAAATGCTTTCATTTCATCGCCTGCAAATGGCAGCGCATGCTAAATAGCAAAGCGTAGGCAGGCTACCCCCTATCATCCCACCCATCCCCCTTTTTGCCACGCCCACTCGGCCTGCGAGTAACAACAAAAACGAAATGCGAAAACTGAATTGCAAATTTCAATTGAAATTCTGCGCACGTATCAAAACCGACAAAGCCAACAACAACAACAGCAGCAAATGAAAATACGAGAGAGCAACAACAAATACTTCTTTTAGTTTCATTTGACACTTTTAATGATTTCGCCTGTCAGCAACAGCATTTAGTGCAAAGGGGGCGAGGGGCGTGGCAGTGACGAATTGAACTAGACAGACGTGTCTGATAGATCGTTGCGTTCGCGTTTACTTGACACGAGGTGTTAGGCGCACAGAATGTGAGCGAGACAGCTGGCTGTCAATCGAACAAACATTTATCGTAAAACAATCGATAAGGGTAGTGCAGCGGGTGGGGGTGGAGCTGGGTGTGTGACAACAATAAACAATTGATATTTATTAAATGTGCAAATGTAAATTACCATGTACAATGTTCGCTATCTGAATATTGATAAACTAGGAAAATATGTTTGGATGCATTACGAAAATATCATTGAAATCCATATCGATAGTTATCGAAATTGCCCCAAAAATCTATTAAAAACCAAACTTATTAATAACCCCATTATGTTTAGCTGATTATGAAATAATATTGCCCCACATTTTCCAAGATAATTTAATTATATAGATAAACAACAACAAAAAACTATTTAAAGAATTTATAAAGCTAATTATATATATTTGCTCGAATTACAATTTTGCAGTAATCATTTATTGTGAACTATTTGGGGCAATTAGAAATTTGTTTATGGCTTGGCCAGCTTATCAAGAGGGTCATAGCCTCAATATCAAACTGATAAAGAAACACAAAAAAAAAAAAGTCCCAAGTGAAGATCGCCATTCATGTTTAATTACAGTACAGTAAGGCCTCATTGGTTGGTAATGGACGCATTTTGCGCTTAAGTATATAATTTAATTTGAATCCATGTGCAAATTTTTTATATGTATGTCAATATTATGCCAGTTTCGCATTTCAAGGTGCCTCAATGCTCAATTTGTGACTGTGGCAAAACAACAATTACCAATAAGTGAGCGAGAGCGAGAGCAAGATAGAGAGAGGGAGAAAGAGAGAGCAAGAACTACTTGAGTATAAACTTATTACAGCAAAAAATGTTTACATATCGATTTTGTTTATTTTGCTTTGTGAGACATTTGTTGACTCGACGACTGCAATTGGCAAATATCAACCTTATCAACTAACAAATGTTGCAGCTAATTTAAGCAAATCAAATCAAGTCAAATCAGTGCTCAGGCAGGCTTAGCAACTTTGAACGAATGCCGCAAGTCAATTGAATTCAATTGGACAACACACACGCAAATGACAACGACCAACAGAAACAACATAGTAATAAAAAAAAAGAAAAAAAACAGCCCATTACAAAATATACAAATGTTTTTACATTATTTGATTAGTCCTCCCTCAAGAGCACCGAGAACAAAACGCAAAAAAATACGCAGCTAATTAAAACATTTATGAAAATGCTCTGACACGCTCTGTCATGTCACATTGTAGGTCACCACAGCTACACAACATCTCCATCGAATACATATTTAGAATATAGCTCTACTTCTGAATATACTGAATAATTATAAAAACAAACAAACTTTACATTAAAAGAAAATTTACAAATCATAGCTTTAGCAAATTGCGTATACTCTTTTGCATAAATTCTCTAAAGCCTAAAATCTACAATTTAATCTATGTACAACTATTTAAGTTTTTTTTTCTTATTTTAAAATTTTTATTTTTGTATTCTTTATTTTAAACGTCTTTCTATATTTTATATAAATATATTTTTTATTTTATTTATTTATATTTTTTTTTATCTATATGCTCTATCAAAATGTTTTAAAAAACACGTTCTGCATTGGTTTTGCTACTATGAATATGATTCCAAAATGCTATCGCCCTCAACGAGACAGTTGCAGCGATTAAAACTGGCGGCTGCCGGAGGCAAAATGTCAGCGCCTGTTGAGTATTCAAATTTTCAGTAGCAGCAACATAGGCAACTCAATTAGATCGTTATCTAAAATTCAGAGAGAGACACCTAGAAATAGAGAGTGAGAAAGAAATACTAATAATAAAATAAGAGCAGCCTCAACTTATGGACAGGTGGTAAGCATTTGTGCTAATCGAGCGTTCATTTCATGTAATCGGCAGTCAAATGACGAGCACTTAACCCACATTACGTATACAGACACAGAACTCACACACACATGCACACGGACAAATAGAGACACACATAAGCTGCCACCCACACGAGTGACGCAACGTGCAACGTGCCGCATTCTGAACGGGAAACTTAACTCGTCTCTCCTCTTTCCTCTCTCCCTCTCTTCATCCCCCCCTCTCAATGGCTCAGACAATTTTTATGTCAGTTTAGTGAATTGCGCCAGACGAGCAGAGAACAATTGCAAAACTTTCCATTGTTTACCCCATGCATTACAAATTTATGAATGTTATTAGCCTGATGATGCGCGACACCGCTGTTTGTCAAAATGTCAAAGTGCAGCGCATTTTATATGACCAGGACACACCTGAAGCTGAAACTAAAACGAAATCTGAGAGACGCACGCAACTGGAGAACTAAGTACTAATCCTGACCTTTCGAACTGCTTTTTTTTTTATAACTTTCTATAACGCAACTAGTTTTAAGAGATTTACAAAAGCTTTATTTGTTATGTATAATTTTACTCTTAATTTTAAAAGCATTTAAATATTCCAACTGACAATCTATGTATAATAAGTGTTTCTCAAATTCAAAAAACATAACAAATCAATACGTATTTCTACAACGAGTGCCTTAAATTTAGTCTTATCTTAACTCCAATACGATTATATTTTATTTTCTTACTGGGTGCAAAAGGTTTTTCCCACCCAGCAGTTTTCCAATAGTTTACTTAATTACAGTTCCCCACAAGTTAGCACAACTTAGCCAAGTAGGTCACTAAACTGAACTGAAATGAGCTGAACAGAAAATCGTCGACACTTTATGAGTTTTAGACACACTTGTGCCAAATTTGCATTTGATATGAGGTAAGTGTTTGGGGTGCGCCTTGAGGCAAATGGAAAATGAAAAGCGCTTTAAAGTGCCTCGGTTCGGCTGCTTAACTGGGCTAACCAGCTGACAGCTGCCACTGTTCGCAGCCCTTGTCCTACGAGAGTGCAGTGACTTAATAGACCGCCCATTAGGGCCGCACCACCTCTCCAGCAGCTCTAACATAATAATAAAATTGTGTCAATTCTGCATTATTTTTGCAGAGAAGAAAAAATGTATTGAACCAGCACCAGAATCATAATAAAGATAATTTTTATACAAAGAAGATAAGATACT